CAGATTGAGGTTATGAAGGAAGAGCACCAGAAGAGCGAGCGTATTATGGGTCAAGTGGCTTCCTTCGATTATGATAGCCACGGTTTGTTGCCTCTGCATCGGAGAGTCTTGGTTCCGTATTGGGGCGGTGTGCGCCAAGTTCTGATGGAGGAGGCTCACAAGTCGAGATTCCCCATTCATCCCAGGGCGACGAAGATGTGTAGGGATATTTGTCCTGATTATTGGTGGCCCTGCATGAAGCGGGATGTAGCATTGTACGTGGAGCAGTGCTTAACTTGCTGGAAAGTCAAGGCCGAGCATCAGTGACCTCACGACAAGATGAAACCGTTGGAGATTCCCATATGGAAATGGGAAAACATCAGTATGGATTTTATCACGATGCTTCCCAAGACTACGCACAGAGTGGATTCTATCTGGGTCATCGTGGATCGATTGACCGAGAGCGCGTATTTCATTCCGATCCAGGAGAGTATTTCTGCAGAGAAATTGGCCGAGATTTATGTCCGTGAGGTGGTGGCACGCCAAAGGATGTAGGTATCAATGGTTTCAGACGGGGATGTTCATTTCACTTCCAGATTTTGGAAGCAGTTCCATGACGAGATGGGCACTCGTCTCCATTTCAGTATAGCTTTTCATCCGCATACCGATGGTTAGAGTGAGCAGACTATCCAGACTCTTGAGGATATGATGCGTGAATGCGTGTTGGATTTTGGTGGGAGTTGGGATATGTATCTTCTGTTAGCGGAATTTTTGTATAAAAACAGTTATCACGCTAGCATTGATCGACCTTCTTTTGAGATGCTCTGCGGGAGGAAGTGCAGGAGCCCGATTTGTTGGGGTGAGGTCGGTCAGCGAGTCAGGGGGAGTACCGAGGTGGTACTCAAGATCATTGAGTTGATTCAGCAGGTTCGGAGCAGGCTCCAGACAACTCAGAGTTGGCAGAAGAGTTATGTTGATAAGTTTCGATCATATTTGGAGTTCCAGGTGGGAAATATGGTTCTCCTGAAGGTGTCACCTTGGAAAGGTGTCATCAGGTTCCAAAAACGGGGCAAGTTGGGTCCCAGGTATATTGGTCCTTTTAGGTTTTTGGCTTGGGTGGGATAAGTAGCTTATCGTCTTGATCTTCCAGCCTAGCTCAGTCAGATTCATAGCACATTTCATGTCTCTCAGCTGCGGAAGTGTTTAGCATATGACTCCGCAGTTGTACCTTTGGAGGATATTCAAGTGGATGAACGCTTGAATTATGTTGAGAGACCAGTGGCAATTTTAGATATGAAGACAAAAACCTTGAGGAAAAAGGTTGTGGAGCTAGTAAAGGTGCAGTGGCTGCACCGCAAGGGGTCATAGTGGACTTGGGAGTCGGAGGATGAGATGAGGGAGCACTACCCGGATTTGTTTGAGTCGGTGGACTTCGAGGACGAAGTCTGATTCAAGTGGGTGAGATTTGTAACATCTGGTTTCCCGGTATGATTTTATTTCCAAGTTTTTATGTTTTCTATTTGGGACACGGAGTGTTGGAACCTCAACATGGCGTGTCGAGATGTCCTTGGCCACGAAGTTTAATGAACCAACACGGTGTGTTGGCAGCTGGGAAGGAATCCCTAATTTTTAGGGTGTTGCACCCTATTTAAAGGCCATAAGTCCCCTTGACCGGCCTCCTTACCAGCCTCATTTGTTATCTAAAACCCTAAATCGAGTTTTCAGCTTTCCTTGGTGGTGAACTTGAAGTTTTGAGTGGATTTTGTGCTCATTTGAAGGAGCTTTGGAGTTTGAAGGTGCCTAGCTTGGAGGGAAGGCCATAGATCCAGAATCTCACCACTTGTTGCAGTCTCTTTGAGGTATCAAGTTCATATCTTGCTTTGTTGTTGTTTAGATCTTCTCTTATGGGGTTTTTTATGATTTTTGGGCTCATTGATGGATTGTCTTAGGAGTTAGGTGTTTCAAGCATTGTCCTATTAGATCTGGCCAGTTTGTGGACTCATTTGGCTTAAATTTGCAAGATTTATAAGGTTCTAGGTCTCATTCATGCATTAAGTCCTTTATTATGCCCTTCTTGAGCTTTAGAGCTTCTTTTTGGCATGCATGAACGTAAAGTTGGCAATTTTACATGGTTTTCTAAGTCTTGGGTGTAAGATCTGCATTTTAGGGCTATGTCTTTGAAGATTAAGTGCTTAATGGATTAAGCCCTCACTCTAATGAGCCTAGGGTTTGGGTTTTTGACCCATTTTGGTGGTTCCTATGGGTAAAGTTGGAAACTTTACCCTTCTAGATATCATTTTGGTTGAGATCTGAGCTTTGGAGCTCTTAGACTCGATGAAGACAACTTAATGTATTAAGTTGTTGGATTTCATGCGAACACGGCGTGTTTATTGGTAGACACGACGTGTTGCCTTGGTTTTTCCCGACTTTGCAGCTGACGGAGAAACACAATGTGTTGAAGGACGAAACAACGTGTTGGGTTAACTTGGGTCGTTGACCTTGACTTTTGACTTTTGTCTTTGACCAAGTTTAACCTATAAGGGGTATTGGGGCATTTTGAGTTGTGTCTAAGGAATTGTTTCATTTTAGGGGATAAGTAGAGCTGATATTCGGAGTCGGGACCTATTCATATATCATTCAGCATTCGAGGTGAGTCTTCCTCATTGTGTTTGGCGGGTCGAAGGCACCAATTCCGGCCTATGTTATATTATGTTAGTATGCTAGTTGTCTTCGTGACTGTTGCATGTGTTATGTGTTTATATGCTTGTCGGGCGGGGCCCAATGACCATCTGTATGTCATGTATCTTTGTGATTATTACATGTGTGTGATTACTTATTATATGATATATGTATGCTGGGCAGGGCCCGAACTATTACCGAGCGGGGCTCGATGCCGGGCGGGGACCGATGCCAGACGGGGTCCGATGTCGGGAGGGGCTACATCGCACACACCATTGGTATGTGGTCCTCTATGAAACTCACTAAGTTTTGTGCTTATGGTTTTAAGTTTATGTTTCGGGTACTTCTAGTTCCAATGGGAAGAGCTCGGGTTGACTACATCGCACACACCATTGGAATTCCGTATATGATATTACTCTGATTTTTATGACATTTGATACATTGGTTTTGTTGAGATGTATGGATGATATTTGAAAATACTATTTTATCTATTTTAAAAATGAAATTTTTGGGACCTTATTTTGGGATGTTTCATGAAGCCTGTTGCGCCATCCTTGGACATGTTGTGCCATCATGTGCAAGATGGGCCATTTTGGTTCCTTGATAAGCCATTGTATCCCTGATGAGCCAAGTATGCTATGACGTCCTCTATGATGCTCAAGACCGTTCAAGGATCCTCAGAAGTTGGTATTGATCAAGGATTACACCATGCTGTGCCACCATAATGGATGTTGGGCCATTAGTGTTCATGATGGGCCACTTGTGCATCATGATACTCCATTATGGTCAAGGTGGTCCATCATGTGTGATGCTGATGCTCATGGGTTGTATGACATGGATGAATGTTCCAGAAGATGTTGCATGGCGGGATATGATTGGTTGTTACCATTCATGGGCCTATGGGTCAATCGGCTTGGCCCCTTAGGGTTTCAATCTTGATCCCTCAAGTATAAATAGACTCATATCTCCATCATTATGAGTGTGCAGAAATTTCAAGAGAGTAATCATTGTGAGGTTGAGCGCACTCCTTTGGAGCAGTTAGTAAGCAAGAGAGATTCTCTTGTTTTGAGAGCTCAAGCGAGGTGTAACCTTTGTGTGATTGTAATTGTTCGTGGAAGTTAATAAAATCCTCTCTCTCTCTCTCTCTCTCTCTCGTTCGTCTGTGGATGTAAGTCACATTGACCGAACCACGTTAAATATTATGTTAACTTGATTTACATTTTCAGAAGTTTTATTTATGCAAGTTCACCGAAGTTTATTTTGATATTTGTCTGAAGTGCTTAACTTGTTTTGTTGTCACCCAACACCCAATTCGCCACGTTACTCACAATCTACTCAAATCTGATGTCAGGTGTGTGACAGGCATATGCGCGCACCTCGCACGCACGAAATGATTTTGTAAAAATCACAACTCTTTCATGTGAGCTCCGATCTAAGACCTCTTTATATCTATGTAATGATCTCAAGGAGTACTACAACTCTCCTTTAGGTTGTTTTAGCTAGTTTTGACTTTCATTTTTGTGCTTAACGGGGGTAAAAATAAATGATTTTACAAAAAGCATATATCTCTCATATGGATCCCGTTTTCGGCATTCTTTGTCCTAAAGTTTATATCTCAAGGAGTACGACAAATTTGCTTTTTGAACTTTTAGTCAAAACTCAACCAATCTTTAAGTACAGTTTTGAAATGATTAACTTTAATTATGTGGTTTATTTTTAATTTTATAAAATCTATAACTCTGTCATACGGAGTCGGATTTCTACGAATCTTATATCCTTGGGATCACATTAACGAGTATTTTCCAAATACATTAACCAGCTTTGAAGACGGTACAACATTTTGGACGCTTATTTTCGAGTCTAGCAGTTGATTTAACAATAAATGTAATGACATATTTGATTTTTATTATCTCATAAATTAAATATTACAATATTAAGATATTATATCTATTTTCCTACTCTTTTCTAGTGGTGGTCAGTGACGGAATCCTCTCGGTTGCCACATCTTTTTATTTGGAGAAATCGTACTTCTATTCAATAGGCTATCCGGGAAATCACGTAGCATCAAAAATTATATCCATTGAATGCCAATATGAAATCACATAATGATAGATTTTAATCCATTAAAGGTCGTTTAGACATGTCACCTCATTCAACTCTCAAATTACGCTAGTGGATGCTCTTACATTAAAAAAATTTATCATTCATCATAATAACAATTACGGGAACTAAATAACATGAACCCAATCCACATCTACTTGAAGTAGATATAAGATATTATTATCTATCATTAAGAACAATGTTGCAAGGACTAAATTAAAGAAACGACAATGACTAGATCATTAATAGTTTGGATTAGGAACAGAATCTATGAATAATAAATTAACGTACTCCATAGTCGTCTTTTCAGGAAAAGTGAACTTGTCGTTGTACCTATATACCATATCTGTCATTCTAGCAAGATTAAGAATTGGTGCAAGAAGCTCCATTGAAACTTCGGTTGGCTTAAGACATCCCTCATTGATATCTTTCCACTCGTTTTCAATCATTTTCTTAAGTTCATGAACAGCTACATTTTCTGGCACCCCGAAAGTCTTCATATATGTATGTACTGATTCGACTTGTTGTGCTCTTTCTCCCTCAAACTTCATATAAATATTTCACCTCGTCAAACAAATTAATTTTTTATTTTAAGACAAACTCTAAGTTTAGTTTGTTGGTTGTTGTTGGATAGCTATAGATTTGATTTATTTACTTCAAATTTTAGGAAAAAATACCAATAATAATGGCTATTATAAACATCTTTACGTGGCTAGGAAGGAATATATTTTTTATTTTATAAAATTACTTGTTTCTATAATTAAATATAGAATTATGAATCACAAACCTGGAAAGTTGTAACATCATTATAAAGTCTTCCAAGTAACTTTGTAGATTCACCAATATTTGGACGGCTTTCATACCAAGCCAAAACCTCTTCGCAGACGATATCTCCCATAACCATTAAAGAAGATTTTGTAAAAACATCATATGTAGAAGTAATTAATCCATTCTTCAAATACTCTTGGAATGAGGACACTTGTCTATGATATCTCCACTCAGCCTCTTGTAGGTAACCTCGAGCTAGCTTTTGAAACTAGCTTATCATGACATAAATAACAAAAGAGTAAAATATATAAATAGACACAAATAATTGGAATCTACATAACACAAGGGGAAATGGTACCATACTGCTTGTTTTGTAGCATAAACCCTGTTTTCTCTTCTCTCGTTCAAGAGAATGTTGTAAAGTGGTTTAATATATTCCGGAAGTTGTTCCATAACATTAATTTCCCAACTAAAAATGAAATCATATTTATAATCAAATAATCATTAATGAATAATTTATGCTACTAAAGATATGGAATAAACCACCATTTAAGCATATTCAACAACGATACCTGTTTATGGCACCAGTTAGAAGTCGAAGCTCCTCAATAGTACCATATGCATCATATATGTCATCTAACACCAAAATTAGTTGTGCCATTTTTGCTAGTATGATTCTAGAATGAGAATAATGAGGCTCCGAAAATATAGCGATTGCCCATAAGTAAAGCTCTGGAGTTCTATCTCTTGCATAAGGAGTTATAGTTTTGAACTCCATGTCCTTGATCCACCTGAAAGAAAAGAATACCGTACAATCTATCTTATGTCAGGAGCCTGAAGACTAATATGCTTTTAAATTCTAATAATTATTTCAATTTGGATTTTACAATAGTATTAACTTTTGTGGAGTCCATTTACGTGTAAGTTATGCTCGAATAAAAAATGAGTAATGCACATATTTCATCAAGAATTTCCCTTTTATTATTATTGTAACACGCTTAAATCTAGATAAATGATTTCAACCAACAATTTTATCCATTTATTATAACAAGGTTAAAAGAGTTGTACAACATGCTAGTACGCCAAACATAGCGTAAATGGGAACAAGAGAAGTATGTTTCTGAAAGTCTTAGAGAAGGTTAGTTGAATATGGTAAAATTCGTAATCTAGATGTATTTAGTTTTTTTTTTTGTAAAAAAATCCAAAATTTTAGTTTTTTAAGAAATCTTGACTATAACTTCGGATGTTTTAGATGGTTCATAAAATGTTTTTTTAAGGTAATTTGGTAAATTTTAAATAATGGATAAATGTCACTGTAGCCCAACCAACTTATTAGTTTGGATTTAAATAATCCCTAAACTTAATTTTTTGTTTTCTAGGGTCACAAAGTGTATGTTGACCGGTTTAAATGGTCCCTTTCACTGTTGAAAACCGGTTGCTTATGCCACCTCTACATTCATCAACATCGTAATTTCAGGTTTCCTTGATGACGATGATTTTTTCACTATAAAAAAAGAAATTAAACTAAAATTCAGCTCACATACTCATCCATCTTCTTCTTCTTCCACAAAGCGTTTTTGTTGCTCCCCATTCACAAAATCCAACCACCCCTGTGCCTTAAACAACTTAAGATTGGAACCTCATCGGGACTACATCGAAACTACAGGTGCTCTATATGGCTATAAGTTTTGATTTTTTGGGTTTTGTCGGCAATCCATCTCATCGACTCTGCCATTACAAGTGATTGTTCGGTGATTGTTCAGGGTCCGATCGGATCTCTGAAAAACAAATTTCGGTGGTGGCTATGGAGATGGGGTCCTTGGGGATCAAACTCAACTTCTTAACCTTTTACATTGATTCAATGAAATGGGTACTGACTCCCAAGCGAGATCAACGAGTCCTTCCATTCCGGGGATTCCAACCATTCTGACGACTCTCTGATGGAACCCGATGCATCAGTCGATGTACTTTCCTTCATTATCAATGTATCGTCATGTGGATCCCCATTATTAACAGAAGCTTCTTCTCTCATATGATAAACTTCAACCTCAATTGGATGCACCAACGGTTTCTATTTCTCATGATTCTACGAGACCTTTTCACTTCAAGAATTCATCATCATCGATCCATTAAACTTAGTCAAATTAGAAACCCAAAAAATCTGAGAATCGGATGTTCAAAATCGGTAATGATCGCTTCAAAGTTTCAGCTTTATGTATGAATTGGAGACGCCCACTACGAATACCCACACTAAATTGACGACAGATTCCGATTCAAAATCAGTAATGATCGCTTCAAAGTTTCATCTTTATGTACGACTTGGAGACGCCTACTTCAAATACCCACGCCAAACTGACGATAGATCACTTGAATAAGAAAATTTGATCACAGATTTTGTAGATAGGGTTTTTAAGCCGATGATTAAGAAATAGTATATGTAATATTTATAGAGAAAGACATGTGAGTTTGAATTCCCTTTTTTTATTACTCAAAAAGTAAAAATGTCATTTAATCCAAATTTAACGGTGAAACCGGGAAAAATGAAATTTAATACCTTTTTTAATAATTCAATTCTAAGTTTAAGGACCTATAGTACCAAAAAAATATGTAAGAGACCTTTTAAAACAAAATCCGAAAATTGATTGGGCTACGAGCACGTTTACCCTTAAAAAATAGGATGTATATTTCAATTTCAAAAATTTTAATTTATTAAGAGAGCCCATTATCACTCAAGAGGTCTATTTCAATTTCCAAAAATTTATCAACCAGCCCAAAATTTAATATGATTAATAGATTATGTGGCTTATCCGCAGGTCCAAAAAGATATCCAACCGTGTCTTTAAGTTCAATAAAAAATTTCTATATTTTATTAAGTTTTTTCTTTTCATTTTTCTAAAAATAGAAGTTTGTAATTGCACTTCTTATTTTTTATAAAAACGTTATGACCTAATCATTTGAATATGTTGAGTGTTTTCGAAAATAAATTTATTTATTATAAACAAATAAAAAGATTTTATTGATCTATTTAAATAATATCGATATTAATATTATTTATAATGATTTTACCTCTAACCCTATTTAAAAATATATGTTCTCTTTGATTGAATATAAAAATTATCGTTTAAATTACCCGAGTCTAGTTTGGAAGAAAAAAAATGCATGTATATGAATTTTATTATTGTAAGGCTGAAGGTATGTTTGGCACGAGCCACATTCGTTAGGTCGTCACTGGCCTAGTAGTATTTAACCGCATCTTATTTTTTAAATTATAATTTCTTACTCTATTATGTAAACTAGTTGTGAGACCCGTATGTTATACGGGTTGGATAAAACTAAAAATTAAATATGAAGGTTTAAACAAAAATTTATTTAAATTTAAAATTTTAGATTTGAAATTTAAAATTTAAAATTTGAATTTAAAAGGAAACATATTAAATACTATATAACTTGTAATATTGTAATTTATTGGTAATTTTCAATTAAAGCAATTATTAATTGAGATGTAAATATTATGTGTTAATTAAAAAATGATAAAAAAAAAATGAGAAAATGACAAATGGAAAAAACATTTATTTAAAAATACCAAAAAATGACATGTGTCCAAGTTAATGAGAGAGTGACATGTGGCAAAATTATTTACATCTCAATTTAAAAGGAAACATATTAAATACTATATGAGTTGTAATATTGTAATTTATTGGTAATTTTCAATTAAAGCAATTATTAATTGAGATGTAAATATTATGTGTTAATTAAAAAAAGATAAAAAAAAATGAGAAAATGACAAATGAAAAAACATTTATTTAAAAATACCAAAAAATGACATGTGTCCAAGTTAATGAGAGAGTGACATGTGGCAAAATTATTTTCATTTATTAAGTATGATATATTAACTTAATTTATTAAAAATAGGATTAATTTAATAATATATCTTAAATATTCATATTTTGCGGTTTAAAACAAAAGTATTATTTTTTTTTTCCGATTCAAACTGATAAAATTTTTAATTTTTTTCATTGTTCTTATCATCCGATGTGCATGTTAACTTTCAGTAAATAGGCAAAAACGTAAATTTTTTTTAAAAAAAAATGTAGGTACTTTTTGGAAAAATAAATTGGTTTAAATCACAAAAACAAACTTAAGTGTTTCGTAAATAACTACAACTAATCAAACTTTTCCGAATGACAAATGGGTCCAATGAGCTTTTTTTAACATGGAATTGTAATATGGCTATATATTATATCGAAAATAGTTTGTAGGATGTTTGGTAAGTTTGTAAGTGATGATGCATCAACTTTGAGATGGTAAAAGTCATGGATATAAGCAAATGATTTTTTTTAACAAAATATGAATATAAAGTTCACAAGAGGTGAGGTGTTTGAGGTTTTAATCGTCGACGATAGCAGTCCCATTTATCGTCAACTCTGTTGGCATGGTTCTTCCCAAACAAAATATAATAGTTATACATAGGAAGATCGACAAGCTTTAAAAAAAAAGGATAATGGTTGTATGTAAGATTATATGAAGAGGTGATAATGGTATGATTTTAATAATGGGATGGTTGTATTGTATAGGGTTAGGGAACTATAGTAGTAAGACCAATAGAATAAAAATGAAAAGAGAGAATTTATATGCAGGAAGATTAAGAGACTTAATATTAAACATTAATAGTTATATATGGGAAGCTGTGAAACTTAAAATACTAAGAGACAAAAATGAAAAGGGTAATGGTTATATGTTGGTCATGGTTACATACGAGAAGACAAAGAGACTTCCATTATTCCCCAAAGGAAGACCGAGAGACTAAAAAGAAAAGGATAATTGTTATATGTAGGACCAAAGGGCTTCTAGCCCAATGGTACCGGTATTGTCCTCCCTCCTACACGTTGAGGGTTCAAGTCTCATTGGAGACATAGGTGGTATTAGGAGTAGTTTAGAAGTAGTGTAGATTTGTCGTTCTAAAAAAAAGTTGTTATATGTAGGAAGACCGAGATACTTAAAAGAAAAATATGATGGTTATATGTAACACCTGGTTTCGAAATGTTTATCAATTTCGGAATAGCGAACCGTAAATGGATAAAGCAAACGTGTTGGGCTTCAAGAGAATAGAGTTTAGACCCTATCAGATGTTGATAATGTTATTTAAGTGATTAAATCCTTCGATTTGTGCTTTGAAGAAAAAGGGTAAAAGGGAAAAGTAATTTTACGGACTAATTACATGGATTATGGTTTTAGTTCGACATGTATTAAGTCGAAAGCAATTAGATAGGGTTGTGGGCTCGTCAATACCTTCTTGTGCATATAAATATCGCCAAAAACGGAGTTGAAACAAAGAAGTTATGACTATTTAAAGTTGGAATGGAATTGGATGAAAACTCGTTGTCACGAGGTGAGAAGCATATTCTCACTACGTGAGGATCATATTCTCACAAACGTGACAAGTAGGCTATCACGAGGTGAGAATTGGGCAACCCAAGCCCACGAATTTTAGGGTTTTCTATGTTTTTAAAGGGTGGTTCCATGTTTTTGGGATATTTTTTTGAGAGAAACCCTAGCCTCCCTATCACCACTTTGAGTCCCCCTCACCCTTTTCATCCATTTTTGGAGTTCTTGGTGGATTTTGGAATGAAGCTCTTTCAAGATGGAGTTTTGGAGCCCTGCATAAGAAGATCTCAGCTTCCAAATATCTTTTGGAACTTAGGTATGATTCAAGTTTCCACATTTATGCTTATAAGTTTCTAGATCTAGGCTCCTTTGCCCTTTTCTCCATGTTTGTGA